AAGACACCGGGGCGGGGGGGTCCCCCCCCCCCCCCCCTTTCTGGGTACCATTGGGGAAGATTTCCCCTCACTTCCTGTTGTCTCTGGAACAGGAAGTGAAGGCAAATCTCCCCCAATGGTACCCAGACAACAACAAAATCTGCCCAGTCTCTTTTTTATCAAAAACAAACAAAAACAGTTTTGGCTTTTGGCACACACGTGTTCTAAAGCCAAGTTTGGGTAGAATCCAAGGAACCCACCGGAATGTTTCTGAACTTTTATACAAGGCCCTAAAGGTCGCTGCCCACTAATCATTCCGGGACTCGGTGCAATTAATTTTTAATTGGCTCTTTGAATTGAAGTGTAGATTTTATCTGACAGCACAATGTGGATCGGCCCTCCCTGCTGTCACCAGAGCATGCTCCAATGCCTCCGCTCTATGACATATGGCAGCTATGAGCTCACTTCAAGAGAACCGCGCACCGCCGAGAGGAGAAAAGAAAACACCGGAGACACCTAAATTCTGCCAACCCATCAACGCCCCATCTGCCTTTCTGTGACCGTTACCAAAGTGACCTCCGTCCTTCCCGTCAGTCTTCTATCTGACCTCCGTCCTTCCCGTCAGTCTTCTATCTGACCTCCGTCCTTCCCGTCAGTCTTCTATCTGACCTCCGTCCTTCCCGTCAGTCTTCTATCTGACCTCCGTCCTTCCCGTCAGTCTTCTATCTGACCTCCGTCCTTCCCGTCAGTCTTCTATCTGACCTCCGTCCTTCCCTTCAGTCTTCTATCTGACCTCCGTCCTTCCCTTCAGTCTTCTATCTGACCTCCGTCCTTCCCTTCAGTCTTATATCTGACCTCTGCCCTTTGCTTCAGTCTTATATCTGACATATGCCATGTTTGCCCTTTATATCATGCCATCTTCCTCCATATGTATCTGACCTCCGTCCTCCCCTTCAGTCTTCTATCTGACCTCCGTCCTCCCCTTCAGTCTTCTATCTGACCTCCATCCTTCCCTATCTGACCTCCATCCTTCCCTTCAGTCTTATACCTGACCTCCGTCCTTCCCTTCAGTCTTCTATCTGACCTCCGTCATTCCCTTCAGTCTTATATCTGACCTCCGTCCTTCCCTTCAGTCTTCTATCTGACCTCCGTCCTTCCCTTCAGTCTTTTATCTGACCTCCGCCCTTCCCTGACCTCCGTCCTTCCCTTCAGTCTTGCACGATTGTACCGGCTCCTCTCCTGGGCTGAAGTTGCTTCCTCTGATTATACTGCACACTGGGAGCTTCTCACAATGTGCATAAGAAGCTGCAGCCGCCTCATTTCTTGGCTGGACGACATCCAGCATAATTTAGCTCTTTACTACTCAGCCTAATGGTCCCTGGCTCCGCCCCTTTTTATCTATTGGATTTCAGTTCTTTTATTCATGGAGGCTCAGCATCACACGTGGGCGTTACCTAGGGTGGTTAGCATCCCCGCTGAAAGTCTGCCGAGATCAAAACCACCTACAGAATCTGTTTCTACTTCCCACATTGATAGAGAGCGATGGTGGCGCACAATCACTATGTAGCTCTTCAGAGCAGGAAAGATACTTTGTTTCTTTTTTCCCCCCTATGGATGAGATTTTAGACTGTGGTCACTTGCAGCCCCTGAAGGGTAAAGTGACACCTGTTGCCGGTGTCTGCCCACCCTTCTGTCTCCATGTTTTATTAAGTCCCTGGCATCCTCACACCAACTGCCCCCCCCCCCCCCCCCCTTCCCCGGGGGCCCCCGGCCTTCTGGGGCC